TTCCAAAATTATCAGTGCTCAAGTTCCTCCAGATCTCTGCACTGTAATGTCAAGAGTTACATAGATATAATCTGGTCCAGGATGGCTGCTAGAGCCCCAGCCATCACATCCATGCTCTAATCATCAGTAGAAAGGAAACAAAGAAGAGCAGGTTGTGCCCCCACTTTTTAAGAACAAATCTTACAAGTCCCACCAATACTTCTATTAGCTACAATGGAGCTCATAAACTTTTAACTGGGAAATCATGTGCCCAACTCAAACTTAAGGCTCTATTAATTTTAGGGAATTGGGTAAAATGGTTATTGGTAGGAAACTAGCTGTCTCTGCCAGACTCAGGGAGGGGAATTACCTCATCTATCATGAGCCTTAATGTGAATGAGTCTATCAACTCCTTTTTGAAAGTGAGATTTCATAGGTAAAAAAGACTGGAGATTATATGAGGACACTAGGCTGGGGACAGTGGAAGCTTCCTAATGGGGTGGATAAAGGATATTGAAGGGAAACCTCTGATTTAGAAAGTTGCTCAGAGCCATCATCAGACCCAACTCCATCTTTCTCATTTATACTGTCATCCATTTAAAGAGTTTGGATTTTATACTAACAGGGAAGAGGTCATTTATATTTATTTTGTTTCAAAAGAATAAATTATTTTTTAGAAGATTTAATCACAATTTTGGTTGCATTCTTTCCCCTCTTTTTTAGAGAAATGTCTTCCAATGCCAAAATGGGTTCTGGATTTCCATGGTTATTTTATTCGTCCTTATGAGTTTGTCTTTCCCTTCCCATGAACCCCAAAAAGAATGGAAAAATGGCACCATATTGATAAAAAAAAATGTGATGTCTCCCAAGACATTCTTTAAATGTCCTATGTGCAAATATGGACAAAATGAATGACTCGGATCAACTAAGTGAACATTTCTGCACAGATGTTTGAGGTGAAACTGGCTGGCTTTGCAAAGCAGTTCTCTTTATATTCTAGCAACATTGCTTTACAACGTGTCTGGGTGACAGGCCAATTTCTTAAGCGATTTATACATATTTAGTACTTTCCAGCACTTTTGCTCTTAGAACTAACTGATGGGGTAGAGGAGCTAACCACTCAGTGCTATGGAACATTGCCTTAGCAGAATCATTGGTGGAAAAATCATACATTTCTCCATTAGACACCTCAGTTCTCAAAAATTTCACTCACTTCCAGCAGTCTCATCTTTTATATTTTGATATCTTTACTCACAATAAGAGAAAAAATTCAGTAAGATGTTAGAGGAAGGAAGGAATGGTAGAAAAAGAAAAGATGAAGATTCAAGTGGGAATTTTACGACGTTTCATCATGTTTGCTGCAAAGTAAGCACTTGCTGCGCATGAATGCTTGTGTGCAGGAAAGTTCCACCTCCAATCACAGCGGTGAAGTGGCTGTGAACTGAATGCCACCGGCCTCTTTGGGCAACCTCTGCCTTCACCCTGTGCCTTTTATAAAGACAGACCAAGCATGTAGTGGCTTACCCCACCCCAACCCCCTGCAACCATCCCCACCCTTGGCTGGTTATTTAGATTTTTCTTAAGAGGTTGATGAGATCAGGAAAAGGTTCTGTTTTGGCCTGCACTCACGAACAAACTTCATCTAGAAAACCATTCATATATTGCAAAATAAAACGATCCTTGTCACTTAAGGGAAAACATTGTCTTTAGTAGCTCCAATCTTCCTCTCCTGCTTTTTCCATCTCAGAAGGTTTTTTTCTGTTTTCTTATCCTCCCTCCTCCCTTTTGCTTCTACCATCTCCTAAAGAGGAGTATAAAGGCTGGTGAGAGCTTAGTTACCTTCCCATGAGGCATATGAATAGTACATTTAAACTGGGATAAAAACTACAGAGAAGCAGCTCTGCTGGTGGAATTTAGGCGAATGAATAATGGAAAGAGCTGGGTATTGCAGCCAAAGAGAACTGGAATTGATTCCCAGTTCTGTCATTTAGAAACTGTCTTCAGCAAGTTATGAGCTTTTCCTGTGCCACAATTTCTTTGTTTATAAAATTGAAATAATAATATCTGCTTCATAGTTATTTCAGAATTAACTGAAACTTTTTATGTAAAACTTAGTGCACTATTTGACACACAATTGGCATTTAATAAATATTACTACTCTAACCTTACCAGAAGGGAGATGGAAGAGTTGGGACAAGTCATGGGGCTGCCTCAGTATTCAATCTGCTGGGAACAGAATCAATCGACAGAGTCATGTGTGTGTGTGTGTGTGTGTGTGTGTGTGTGTGTTTGTGTGTGTGTTTGTATTTAGGGGAAGGAAGCTTATTCAACTGCATTGATTTTTTTTTTTCATCTGTCTTCTTAAGTACTTTTAGTGTCTGATACTTCCTGACATCAACAAAAATAGGAAACTAAGGAGGTCCTTGATGAACAAGAAATTAGAGCCAATAAGGCTGAGTGGTTTGGGAGTTATTCTGTCCATGTGCTGATAGAAACCTAATGAAATATTTTTATCCCATTCCTGTGCACCCTAGATCTACTTTCTCTTTTGGATGGTGCTGATCAAGTGATAAATTTCTCTAATCTTCATTTTCTGTGCTGGCCACTCTGTTTGGAGCCAACACATTCTTTTTCCACATGTGTTAATATCACTGTCTTAGGATCTGTCAAAATGAATAATAACTTCCTTCTCTGTGCCAGACCTGATTTGATACTCTTAATGGCAAAGATTCAGACCTTTCTTGGCACCAAAATACAGGAACTGGGCACAGATCTCATAGCTTTGTTTGTTCCTTATCAAGCAATGCCCAGTGTTTCCATACTACTAGCTATAGGGGCCAAGGGAAAACTTGTTCACTGCTGCAGGTTCATTAATAAAGATCACTGACAAATTTAGATCAATATGAAGGAAAGGCATAACATTTTATTATTTAACATGTTGAGAGAAGGCAAACACAGGTGAATCACAAGAGTAATGTCCCAATTTTCTATTGGGGTACAGAGCTTTTATACCTATCTCCATGGTGAAAGAGGAGATGGGGGATAGGAGTAAGTGATTCTCAGGGGGTATAATGGGCCTGGAGAATGTACTTTGCCTGGGCAAAGTCTATTTGGCCCACAGAGCAGACAATGACTGTAAATGATTCTCTTCAAAATATTGACTAGGACTGAAATTTAAGACAATGGTCTGTGACAAAAGTTAGTCCAGATGTGTTGACAAACTCCAATCTTCCTTTGTGTGATAAGAGTTAAGTTAATGAAAACTCAGAGAAAAAGGCCAGAGAAAATTTTCTTCTTTGGCAGGTCTGGACTTTAGGCAGATAGGGGAACAGCTTCATCCTGTGCTTTGGAGAGTGACAGAAAAATTAGAGAAGGGGGAGAGAGGATGTCAGAGACCTCAAGGCTGCTTCTATCATGTCAAAGCACAATATTTGGGGGGTAACAGCTTTCTGGACCCCAACAAGGCCCTGCTGTCCTTGTTCTGCTTTGCCATGGCATGCAAGGTCCAGCCTCACATCAGGTGCTACTCCCTCTCTGACTGTAGGTGGATGTCTTAGAGTCCCTAACCCTGTTCGGGATCATCCTTCAGGAAATTAACAAGGTCATGAGACTTCCAAGAATCATCTTTCTTGGGGCTAGACTGCAGACCCATGGTAAAACTTACTCATGACTTTCCCCAGGATAAGAACTCAGGCTCCTGTCTGTAATGAGATCATGTCAGCCCTTTCTTCTGGTTTGTTTGGGAAAACCACTGGCTGTTTTTTATAAAAACATTTGGAAGACATACATATATAAAACAAGAAAGTAAGTATGATACCTTAAAAAAGAACATGAAGCAATGTCTGAGCATCTTTATCCCATGGAAGATCTGCAGATAACCCGCAGATATGTGGGATGAGTGTAGGCCGTGGCTGCATTCTTTGTTTGAGTTATGGCTGCCACAATTTATTAATACACCATTCCCATAATAAAGAAAAGTGGATAAATGGTGGGTTATGAGAAATCTATGCCCCTCTCAGGGTTTTCCTGATAATCCTCACAATATTCACTATTGAATTACTTCTTCTGGGGGGGTTCTAACTTCAGGTCCATGGACACTCAAGAAGTCTGTGACACAGCTATATCTCAATTATAATGTACAAAAGGTCTTCAAAAAGTTCATGGAAAGATTTATATTATGTTTTATGGGCCGGCCCGGTGGTGCACTGCTATAGTGCGCTGCTTGGGAAGCGCGGTGGTGCTCCCGCCGAGGGTTCGGATCCCACATACAGACCGGCCGCTCAATGGCTGAGTGAGGGGCGGGAGCAACAGTGAGGGTTGTGATCCCGTGGCCGGTCCCGGTCCGGTACGGGCGCGACACTGAGGGTTGCGATCCGTTGCCGGTCACGAAAAAAGACAAAAAGGAAAAAAAAAATTTATATTATGTTTTATTTCTATTTTCCCATTAATTTTTTGAAGTACCCTCACATATCACAACTAAAAATATTTGACAAATTATTTCAGTGAAATTAGTTTCATTTGTTAGAGTAAAAATTTTTATTTTTTGCTTCTAGAAACATTATTCTGAGAAGTCCATAGGCTCCACAGAACTGTCAAAGAAACCCATGGCACTAAAAAGTTAAGAATCCCTGAGGTAGTGGAAGTGCCTGTGGGAGCCAGGAGGTCTTTTTAGATGACTTGCTAATTTCATTAGTCCAATTTTCACAGTTCTCAGTTTTCTCTAACGTGGTCTCAACACCCTAGTCTCAGCCTCTGTAGGTTGGTGCTGTCTCTGTCTATGAGGTGTTGTAATTGTCAGTCTTTTTTTGAACAGAACACTACTTTTAATATGGTAACAGTGCAATTCATAGTGGGAAATTTCTTCCTGTTCATTTCAGTGTTTATTGACCAAATCCCATGTGCTGGTTACTATGCTAGTCAAGGTCAATGAAAAAAAAATCAGTGCCCTTTATCAGCTTACAGTCTAAGGTGTATGTGTATGTAATAACTTCTTGATTTACGTCTACCCCCTCCACAGATCTTGGAGACATCTGAGGTTTAATGGGGACTTTCCAGCATTCCAGACTGCTGCCCTGCAATGAAGCTCTGAGTCACGGTCTTCGGGACTAAGGTACTGGCAGCAATGAGGAACCCGGGACAGCCAACCTCACTAACGTTCACTCTGAGCAGAAGCCCAAAGTGAGTCTGGCCTGAAATCAGAGCAAGCACTGGAGAAAGACTTCTTTGTTAATGGAAAGAGGAAAGGAGAAAAACGTTTCCAATAAATTGCAGCAAACTTTCCACCATTCTAAAGAACCTACCTTCCTTATCAATGAGGACGTCCTATCTAGTGACTCCCATTCTAGTCTTTTGCCAGAAACAGTGTGTGTCAATACTGGTGAAAAAATAAAGAGAAGCACTCAGAAAAATAGACCTGGAACTGTGATACTGTCAAAACCATCAAGTAGGAGAATTATGTCGCAAAGCCACTTTAGCCCACCTGTGATCCCATCTCGCAGGCCTGGATTCCAGGTATGCTATATCTGTGGCCGAGAATTTGGGTCCCAGTCCCTTGCTATTCATGAGCCCCAGTGCTTGGAGAAGTGGCGTATTGAAAACAGCAAGTTGCCCAAGCATCTGAGGAGACCAGAACCCTCCAGACCACAGCCTCTCAGTGGCAGTGGGTCCTACAATCTCCAGGCAGCTAATGAGGTTGCATTTCAGAGTGCCCAGGCTCAGCTGCTGCCCTGCAAATTCTGCAGTCGCACGTTCTTGCTAGATCGTCTCCTTGTTCACCAGAGAAGCTGCAAGCCAAAGGGTGAGGATCCTAGAGCACCAAACCCCAACAGTTCTGACGATCTTACTGGTCTCAAGAAATCTTCTGGTAGAATCCCAGCCCAACAAAGGACTCTCATCTGCTATATTTGTGGCAGAGAATTTGGCACACTGTCCCTTCCTATTCACGAGCCCAAATGTCTGGAAAAGTGGAAAATAGAAAATGACCGACGCCCTAAGGAGCTCCGCCGGCCCCTCCCACAGAAGCCTCAGCCCCTTTCAACTGGACAGTTCACCCAAGAGGGGCCAAGTCAAGCTCAGCTTGTGCCCTGCCCAAATTGCAACCGGACCTTTGCCCCAGACTGCCTTCTGGTACACCAGAGAAGCTGCAAATCTCAGTCTAGTGGGCCAAGAGATCAGAGTTTGACCTTAGGGAGTAAAGGTGGCTTAAAAGAGTCCACCAATTCCAAGCAGCAAAGGAACATGGCAGCACCCAGTGTAACTGATAAGGTAACTTATATCACATAAAGTGCATTAGGTGGACCTGGGGGTGCATTCTGCTTCCAGGGAAATAAGAAAAATCTATCCCCAGAATCAGCTGCTTCAGCCTCTAGGATTTTTTTCTTTCAATGCCTTATTTCTGCCTTAATGCAGCCTGTCCAATCCGACCCCCTGTTGGACTCCAGAGGCTATATATTCTCTTGGCAAAATAGATATAAGAGCATCCTTGCCTGATGGGTTCATATTCCTCTTCAATTCTGCTGATTAAAAGAAAGAGAGATGAACTTCTTTCCTCTCTGATCTCTCTTACCAGTGATCCCTGGGAGAGACTGCTATTTGAAAATGAGTCATTAATGCTGTGTCTACATTACAAAGATATTATTCCCATTCCAGCAGCCAATATTTATTGCTGGTTTATTTTAGTCATCTACCTTAGGAATTCATTTTTGGCAATGCTGGGTTGTGCTGAGTTTATCTTACTAAAATAGAATCTGTGTCAAAAACCCCAAATGACTTTAGCAACAATTAAATAGTGGTGCACTTGCAGAAATACACATGTTCTGAAAATATATCATGTTTTCTTTTAACACTTATGTAGTTATAGTGAGTGGGGAATTAACCCCCACATAGACACTGAAGCAACTAGTTTTATGTTCACGGTTCTAGGAGGTTCTCAATTCCTGCTGCTGCTCTGTACCCTGTGTTTGGGTTGAACGCAGGGCCCTGAGCCTCACTTTGGACCATTGTAAATTAATATGACCCGAGGTATCCCCAACTTCTAGGGGAAAGAGTTGTTGGGCTTTTACCTAAAGTCCCACCACTAAACAGGACTGGGAGGAATGAGTATGAGAGTGGATCCCTGAAGGATAGGGCATGGCCCATGCTCTTTGTCCTGCCATTAAGCCAGGAAGCCTTGTGTCACATCTTAAAGATTATCAGATCATGAGAAATAGGAGGTGGTAAAAGTCTTTTCTCCATGGCTTGCTACTTGAAATGCCTAGCCTGTAGGGATTCTAAACATGGACTGTTTTAGGGAATCTAACGTTATACAAGTTATCATAAAAGATTAAATCAAAGGGATGTGTGGCAGGGGCATCCTTTATTTTTAGTCCAATTTTAAAATGAAATGATTACGGTCTTACTGGTTTAGAAGATTCCAAGACAATGATTCTAAAGCCGAAGAGTCAGACTAACAGATGCTGGGCACGTTTTCCTACCAACATTAAAGAGAAAACAGCTAGTTTCTTTGCCTAATGAAAAACCCAAAGTCTTAAGTGTGGCATGGGCTTCAAGCTGGTCTCAGAAACATGACGTGTTTTTCCCATCTTCTGGCTGTTGCTTTTCTTTTAGAACGTGTGGGGGTCTGGATTCAGAGAGTAACAGGATCTATGTGTCTCAGGGTCACAAATCAGAAACTCCATAGAGTTCTGACTTACAGCCCTGTTTCTTGATTGTATGCATTTACTTCAAATGTTCTCATTACAGATGGAGAGATAGGGAAGAGTGTGGTTAGGATTCTTGTGCTTGTTGTTGTAACAAATACTTTGTACTTCAAAAATGGAGCCAACAGACTGAGCACAGCGTGTTCTCAGTCACGACTGCTAAAAGAGGCTGGCCCACACCCACAGCTTCACAAGAAGACACCTTCCTGACTCACCCAGTCGTCTAGTGGGAGAATAATATCAAGGAGAGGCCAGCCATGGCCCCTCACGGCTCGTGCATTTAGGTGAGAGAGTGGGGAGTCTGTCTAGAGAACTTGGCTATGCTAAGCACCCCAACCCTGCTCTCAGGCCTTGAAACGCACGTGTCAGTGGGAAACTGGCATCCACTGCTGTCAGATGTGCACTGGCCTGTTTGGAGACCACACAGGCTTCAGTGGAGGGCAAGGAAAGGTCATCCAATATAGGGTCCGTTTAGCTGCCAGATTTAAAACAAGCTTGAGTTAACTAAAATGGAGAAAATGCCTAGGCTTCAGAGAAGCATAAGATCTTTTGAAGCAATGGGTTTTATCCTTTCCCCAGAGAAGACATTCCATAGTGCTTTCAGAAGAAAGCCCTTCCTTCACAGTGTAGTTTTCTCTTTTACTTACGATTTGATCCTGTCTACTGATGTTTTTCTTTCTTTGTATCACTTAAAATTTAGATAGAGCTAGCAATCACTCATTTTCCATAAAGAACACTACCCTATGCATTATTAGATTTCAGAATTTCATCTGCCTGTGACGGCTGACTTTTGGCTGATACACACACATTCCTTTTTACAATTCATATGTCTGCTTCATTTCTGCTCGTCATTTAGAACAATTTCCCTCTAGAAGCCTTGATCTGACTTCAGATTAGAATAAGCTATCTTGCCCGATGCTGTCAGGGGCTTCAGTCTTGTAGTGAATTCAGGTGAGGTTAATATTTTCAGAACCATGATCATAGTACCTGGAAAACAATTCACTCCAGTTGGGTGATAATGACTGTTTCATTGGCAGAGTATGTTACCTTTCGCTCAGGATGTTCCTCCAACATAGATTGGCTCAGTTCTCTTATGACACAGATGCTCCTGTTATCACTTCTATCAAATCTAAACACAAAGGCTGATAAGTTCTCTTGCAAGATCTTGGCGGGCATTTCGCTTTGCTCTCTAATCACTGCATTGGCTTGAATTGTCTCATTGCTTCTCATCTGAAATGTAGGGATGAACTTACTCTTTCTGATCTCACAGGAAAGTTGTGAAGACACTAAGTACTGAATTTTTATTTAAAAGGTGTGACTATCGTGGGTCTATTGCTCTCCCACTACATGGTGTAATGAACAGTATCCCACTCCCTTTCTCCCACTACATAGTGTAATGAACAGTATCCCACTCCCTTTCTTTCCTCTGTAAAAAGAAAAGCCTGCATGAGCAATGTCCAAATTTAGCAAGATTTTCAAAGCAGTGTTCCAGATGAAATTTTGATACATAACACAGAAAAGCATAGATTATCATTTTAAATTTTAATATTGCATCTATTTAATAAGATCCTTTGATGTCTATTTTAGTAAGTGATTTCGTAAGCTATGCTGAGGAATGTAACAATAGGGGTCATCATTGCTCCTCATTTTAGTCTGAGTAAATAAATTTTAATATTTGCATTTGATATTATGCAAAAATATTGCTCTTTTCTAGCAGCTGATAGTAATTCATTCTTTAGCTTTTGGCTCTTTCCAGCTAATTAGAACACAGGTTGACAGAGTTAATTAAACATAACTATAAATCAAAGTGATGCTTTTGCCTAATAATCTTTTATCAGTTAGATAATGGGTGGGGTTTTTAGGATTTTTCTATAACATGTGAAACATTGTTTCAAAAAATCCTGTCTGATATTGCAAAATAGGCATTATTTTTCTTAAGAGAAACTATGTTTTCTATGTCATTGTCTTTCTGAATGTAGTTTTAAGCTACTTTTGGAATCCTCAGTGCTCAAGTTTGAGCTAAAACCCCCTCAGACACTCTCTAGCATCGGGTGCTGCCATCTGGTGTTTCCTTTTAAAGCAATGTTTTCTACATTAAAGTGTATTATTGCTTTTGTCTTCTTTGTGTTATCCCCAATTATATTTGAGAAAGTGCTCTTATAATACAACCTCCAGTTATTTAGGGCTATTATATATTGGATTTAAAGTTAAAATTATGTTTCTTGGCTAAGTATGTCATTCTCTAAAGGCAAAATCCTCAGTAGGAAGGTCACAATCAGAAACACTCAAAAGGGCAGGATAAATATTCTCATATTTTCAAATTTTGTATGTGTGCATGTGTATCTGTTGGGTAAGAAGAATTTTGAGTTTAGGGGAGAAATGGAAGAAAGAGAACTAACTTTTATTGAATACCTTTATGTCTTAGTCTTTTTGTGCTGCTATAATGAAATACCTGAAACTGAGAAATTTATGGGGAACAGAAGTTTATTTCTCATAGCCTGGAGGCTGGGAAGTTCATGATGGAGGTATCAGCAGGATGAGTGGTGAGGGCTGCTTTGTGCTTCCAGGATGGCGCCTTGTTGCTGCATCGTCTGGAGGGGAGGAACGCTGTATCCTCACATGGCAGAAGGGACAGAAGGGCCAGAGAGCACTCCCTTCACCCTTGGTCCCTTTGATGAGGGTGCTAATCTCATTCATGAGGGTGGAGACTTCATGACTCAATTACCTCCCAAAGGTCACATCTCATACTGTTGCGCTAAGGATTAAGTTTCAACATGAATTTTGGTGGGGACACCATCATTCAAACCACAGCACTTTAAGATCATCAGCACTTTGTATACATGATCTCACTTTAATCTTCATAATGTTACTATATTATATATTATATTGTAATATTACTGTAACATAGATATTATTTTCCATGTGGGTTGACTGAGGTTAAGCAGCTGCCCAAAGTCACAGAATGGGTTTGCACAGAGCCAGGTCTGTGTAATTCCAAAGACTCATATCTTTTCATGTCACTATGAAAGAGGCATATGAGTGACATAAACAAAGAAAAAAAAAGAGTATGGCTACCCTGCCTATCTGTGAGTGTTAGACAGCATGTAAGGACAAAGAGGAAAAATGTTTGTTCATTCACCCATATTTAAGATTAAGCACTGGACTAAGTACTAAAAATATAGACACAATTCTTGACGTCATGAAGTTTTTAGTCCTATGGAGGAAATGATACATAATTTAAATATATGCCTATATACATTTCAAATTGTGCTATGACACTGTGTAATGGTGGGAGGTAGACATTCAGGATCCTGGTTAGAGAAAACCTCTGGAAGGACAACATTTCAGCTGAGACACTAGAGTGTAAGAGCATTACTCAAGGGTAAAGATGCGGGGGAAGAGAATGGCTGGAGGGCAAGACTTTTGGGCCAAGGGCAGCATGTGTAAAGGCCCTGAGGTAAGAAAGATCTTATAATGAAACTTAAAAAGTCCATATGTGGCCAGAGCCTAAGGAGGGAGGAAACAGGCACACATGATGAGGTTGTGGAGGCAGCAAGGGTCCCTCCAGCTGCTCTGTGGACACGGGGACATCAGTTGTTTGGCTATAGCAGGAGCCCAGGTGAGAGCTGATGACAGCTTGGCCCAGGGCATTGGTAGTAAAGATGGAGATAAGGTACAGTGGGCAGATCTTGGTGATAATTGGGATATGGAGGGGTGAGGGAAGGGGTCAAGGATGACTCCCCCATTTCTAGCTTGAGCAACTGCACTAGTTATGCCACTTTCTAAGATGAGGAAGACTTGGGGAAGGATAGGCTCTTGAGGACTAAGATCAATAGTTTCATTCTGGACATACCAAATTCAAACTGCTTGTGAGATATTTAGGTAAGTTAAGCTGGATATATGAGTCTGGCATGCAGAAGAGAGGACTGGGCTGGGATATAC